TGGTTTCACTTGTTAGTACGATCCCCAACCATGCTATCTTTCAACAGCTAGTCGCCTATCCGAATTCGGGAACAGGGAAGAGAAAATTTTCAAGCTAATCTTCAAACCATTTATTGTTTCAATCGTATCTGCAATCAAGAATGGAGACCATATGCATGGCGCACTCCATAGTTTGGTTGGGACAATGAGAGAATTTTCTTCCTCGTTTTTCATTCGTCGAACATTGCAAACTTTTCTGACAATCTCAAGAAAATTCTTTTGAGTGCCCCAATTTGAAGGACATTTCTCGGTCAACGTCAACTCACGACATCTGTAATTACCATTGAAATTCTTAGAGACATTTGTCAGAATCGATTACGAGTTAATCACCGTACCGATACTTAAAGACAGCTTTTCGAAGTGTCCTTTCGCTGAATAATAGGTCTGTGGGACGAAAACCCTTTTCAGGAAGTGAAGTTCGTTGTGAAAAGACAAAGGAGGGGTTTTAGTCCAGTATGGGGTTGGAGTTGAAGCGAACACCAAGAAGGGGCGATATCTCTGCTTAGGGTTTTGAGAAGTTTCGTCGCGAAAAGGGAAATTCCAGTGCGACCAACATCCAAGAACCAGCACTTCAGGTGTTTATCTTTAAATTAAGTTTATGACCGATTATACAAGCAACAGCAGTAACTTACCCTTACACAGGTCGTGATATCAAATGAATACTTGGTCTTGGGGTAACTGGGGAAACAAAGTTACGACAAAGAGTCGTAAGTGAATTCTGTATTACCTACAAAGAGGACTCGGTTATCTCTTTATCCTGCTTTTACCAGCCGTAGCAACCTCAAATTCAAGGTTATCTAAGTAAGCATGATGACCAGGTCGGAACTTTCCTGTGGGAGGCACCCAAATGGTTAACTCAGTTACCAACACTTTATATGTATGAAGAACAGGCACTTCTACTTTTACATTCTGTAGATCGGCTAACATATCTATGAGGGGAACCGTGGAATTGAAACCAATTCTAAACCTTGATTTCGAGTCGATTCTTTTCCATCAGAATACCTGCTTTTCGGATAGTTGAGCCCTAGTTGCATAACCATGGAGACTGACCTTTTCATTTAATTATATAGTATTTTCAACTTGCCCATAGCTGCATTAGACATATGTAATTATTTTCGATACGCTCAGAAAGCTTCTGCTTTTGCCTGATTGCGTTTTTTAACGCGCTCTGGTGCTCGTCAATAGATGAGCGCTGACTTCAAGTGTGATGAAGTCGGTCGGCTCAACCGGCTCAATAGACTGAGCTTTGAGCCGGAATTGTAGATGAAAAAGACTAGGTGGACGGTGAACCCACCTTTAGCTCCGAAAGAGTGTGCCGAAATCCATTTTGAGGAATTTCTTCTCAAACACCAGCTTACCTAATCTTTTCCAAGTATTAATCCATTGTCAAAGTCGTTTGCGACACCACCAGCAGGTATAGCCTGGCACTTGGAACAAGTTCAACCTCTGCCTAAGTACCTGTAATGTAACCACTAATTTTTTCGATTTTTTGTTAGATTTTACTTTTTTTAGGTTTGTAGATATCACTATAAGAGACAGGTAGGAAAGGATGAAGGCGCTCCTCTTCTGGGTTCTCTGGCGTCAGAGAAAGAATTAGCCTCATTCGTGGTACACTCAAGTTCTCTATTGGGGATGAATGCATCTGAATGACATAGGGGCAATTCGTGGATCAGACATTTCCCGAGAGAAACTCACCTTTACCAATTTCTAGCTTTTCATTCAACTAGTCCTTCGAAAGCTTCGTATGTATGCGTCTCTGGTGGGGATTCAATAGGATATTCTTCAACCAGGCAACTTTTTTACTTCAATCTCTCAGAGGAAGCATTTCAAGGGTTGGTCGTTGTCAATTTCGTAACTGTGCTAGTTCCCTCAAAGATAGTTTCAAATTAGGGATGTAAGGACTTGATCCTACCACTCAGAGGAAGGATAACGGCGCTTGTAACCAATACACCCTCTGCGCCACTTACATTCTGTTGGATCAACTTTCTCAACTTTCCGAATTACAATAATTAGGTGTCCGTAATTATTGTAATGGAACTCGTGAACGTTTTTCGTCAGGGTTGCACTGGAATAGCATGCACCATTAAGGGCAACTCGTAATGGCAGGCAAATGGAATATTGGATGGGAGAAAAGAAATGGCGGCGGCTTGTCTGAATGCTTGGGGATAAATGGATTGGTACAAACGTCGCTTGAACGAAATTCGGGCTGAAGCCCCAGGAAAAATACCCGAAAACTGATGTTACGTACCATGACATACTGGTTAAATAGTTCGGAAATAATGGGTGCCTTGACGTGTAATGATATTTTACCTTTTTTTCTGCAAATCAGATGTGGAATGCAGGGCTTGTCCCAGAGATCACGATCAAACACTCAATTTCTGAAAGAAATTCTTGGGTGTCTATTCAACAAAGTTTCATTCCTCTAAAACATCCAATAAAGTCTGGTTCCTCGGATGTCTAAGTAGCGCCCGGATCGAACTCTATTCAATTTTCGTCTCCGACACACTTCCAGACTTCTTCCATGTATAGCATACGTATCGATTACTCATTAAGCGACACACCATTTCAAAACATTCCAGCGACTGCCACGATTGCAAAATGCGGAAAAGTTTAGGGGATGTTTTAGGGGCGGTCCCGTGGGAAAGTTGGGGAACATGTGGGCCTCCTTTAAAGGCATCAGTGCAAATGCTGGCATATTACTAAGGAAATTATTTCTCTAAAAAGTAGCTTTGGTTATCGGGTACTGTATTTGTGCTACTAAGCTGTGGGGAAAAAATGGAAAAAGGTTCAAGTCATAAGTTTATGTATGATACTTATGCGTTATTAATACTTTTGTTTTTGTTTGTTTACAGTTTTTCAATAAAAAAAGTAATTCAAACAATTTTAACTCTCTCCCTTGTTCGGATTTATGGTTATAATTAAATTCAAGTAATTTAATTGGCTTTATTGAAAAATCAGTAAACATTTAAATAAATTTGTGAACAAGATAAAATTCGTATTTCCCTTTACAGAGATCTAGCCAATACTATCCAATTTTCAGGAGCCGCTTGTACTCTGCCATGGCCGGGTGTTTGGATCAAGGCCGATCGCGAATTCAACATCACTCAAAACTCTCTCGGTCCATTGGGTTCATGTCGATCGAAGAACAACGATCAGTATTTGTTAAGTAGTAATACGTGAGTTAAGGCCTGTTGGGATAGTATTCCCAGTCCTGA